AAATTGTTTGTTTCAGGAATGCCGATATGTGAAGCATTTGCTCAAATAGAACAACAGCCTAAAATTTACGATGTTGTTCATGTTAAGTATTATGACGAGGTTTGTACAGAATCATTAAATATTTTTGCTTCCTGTCAGGTCGTACTTTGGTAATTTGACGAGCTATTTGGTGAGGTGGAACTCTTTAGTGTGGAATTTGGATAGACCTAATATCCATACAGTCTGCCTCGATTACAATTTTTTCTTTGATTTGGCTGTTAAAGACAGTTTGGTGTATGAAGAGTAGCTATATAGTCCTGGCAAGTCTACATTAATGCCAACCTTCCTTATTATGAATTTGTATGCAGGAGCCTCTAAAGCTTGATATCGTTATAAGTTTTCCAGATCATGGCTTCCATCTCCGTTTTGATCCTTGGTCCCAGGTTTTATTTTCAATTCACATGTGCATATACACATCATTTTAGTACATTTTTTTTATCTTTTCTTTCACATGATTCCTTAATCTTATTTGATTCAATTTTGGATTCTGTACTAGAGGTTACGCCTTATTGAAATTTTTGATATCAAACGGCTGCAAATGCGCTATGCCACTTCTTTGATAGGGTAAAGTTAAGAGCTAAGATTTATTTCCACATTTCATAATTACAAGTTTTGATAGTGAACCTGGTTTTTGTCTGCAGGGGACCTTCTACTCTTGCTACCTTTGTAGCTGTCTATGCACTTTTTGGTCCAACCTATCCCGGAACTTATGACAAGGATAGAGGTGTTTATACCCTATTCTACCCAGTATGCGCCTTGATTACTTGATTGACTGCTTTTCTACCCATTATTTTGATCATTTTGTTTCTGCAGTTTCTTATCTTGTTATTTTGCAGGGTCTTTCATTTGCTTTTCCTATTCCGAGTCAGTATTCAGATTGCTGTCATGATGGAGAAGGTTTTTATTCATTGCTCCTGATTACTTTTCATTCCTACTCTTTGATACTCAACTCCTAATTTATTTTACTTCGAATTGATTTTGCTCTTTTACTTGACAGCGGAGTTGCCTTTGGAATTTCCTGATGGAACCACCCCGGTTACCTGCCGTGTATCCATCTATGATAGTTCTGCAGGCAAAAAAGTTGGTGTTGGATCCTTAATGGATAAGGCATCTGCTCCTCCGTTACCTACCGGCAGCCTTTACATGGAAGAGGTGCATGCCAAGGTTTGGCTTCTATCTTCCTTAGTCCTGTTAATATGAGTCAGCTATACCATTTTGGTATTTGACTATCTTTCTACTTTCCGTCCTAGAGTCAGTTTTTGGATTATGTATATTGAAAATAAGTATCTTTATACTAAAGGGATGCCTTTTGAGTTTGATATGTTGATTGACCAAATTGTTTGCTTCAGTGGCATCTAGAGTATCAATAGTCTTTTAGTCTGGAGAGTGGAGACTGATCTTTTGAATCCTATGTCTATCATTCCAGCTTGGGGAAGAATTATTTTTCACTGTTGGAGGCCAGCATATTCCCTTTGGTGCAGCACCACAGGTAAATATCAAATTGATTACTTGAGATTAAGCTTTATTTCCTTTCTCCTTGTAAATTATTATTTGTTCTGTTACAAATTTTATGTTATTTCCCTTTCATGCAGGATGTCTGGTCTGAATTAGAGCGCCCTTGTGGAATCCATCAAAAGCAGGTAGGTAGCAACAATGCATGAAAACTTTGGAATGCGCTATGGGTTTTTTACACTGGTTATACACATTAAGTTTTCACCTATGGAGTTGTTGCACTGGACATTACACTTCTTTTAATGGATGCTTTTGCTATTTGCTTTTTGAGTACAAAATAAAAAATGAATTCGAAACAAGAGCAAACAGCAAAAGGCAAAATTTAAATGCATTTACCAACATAGCCTAGTAATTAGGCATGCTATTTATTTCTTTGCATTCGGTTATGGAGCAAGTGTTGTTGAGTTCTTGTATATCCACTTTTTATGCTTGAATTTTTTTGCATGTTCATAGCATTGATGGATTTTGTTTACAGGTTGACCAAATGGTTATTCACTCTGCTTCGGATCCTCGTCCTCGGACAACTCTTTGTGCTGATTATTTCTACAATTATTTTACTCGTGGCTTGGACATCTTATTTGATGGACAGGTATTCAAAACGTATACCTTAACACCCAAAAAATGAAGGAACCTTCCTACGTAGTACACTTTTATTCTCTGTTTTGGTTTTCTCCATAGTTAAGAAAGCATTTTGACATATTTTTCTGGCTAGCATTCCCATGTTATTTACATTCTACATTCATTGTACTCCTAGAATTAATGTTAAGAAATTCTTAGAATGGTTTTTTGATTTTGCAGACTCATAAAATCAAGAAGTTTGTTTTACACACGAACTATCCTGGTCATGCAGATTTCAATTCATACATAAAGTGCAATTTTGTCATCCTAGGTTCTTGCAGTCAGCCCTTTTTTCATCCTTTTATCATCATTGCAGTTATCTATGTGGGTGATTGATCTTTTTTATTTGTTCCTTGCCCGCAGTTGGGGGTTCCTTCCCAGATTTAAACAACTACAAAAACAGAATTACTTCAAGCACCAAATGGGAGCAGGTTAAGGTAACTTTTTACAGTTGAATACATACTAATATTTTTCCTTTTCCTTAACATCAACCTTTCTTTGTTTGCCTGGTGCCTCCACTGGTCCTGTTTCATTCTTGTGCGAGAATAATGGTTCACTTAGAATGATATTTTTACTGCAGGCAATCCTTGGCGACTGTGGCCGTGCAGCTATTCAAACACAAGGTTCTGCAAGCAATCCTTTCGGCTCTACTTTCGTATATGGCTACCAGAATGCTGCATTTGAGGTAAAAGTTATGTTTTGCATTTTAGCATTGGGCACTACTCTTATGTTGGTAATATTTACTTTTAGGTATATGGTGAAAAGATTGCTAATGAAGATCTTTGCTATTAGCAGGTTATGAAGAATGGCTATATTGCAACGGTGACACTTTTCCAGTCTTGACGAGCCATCTCTTGCCCGATAGGTTGTTCCTCTGCCTCTGAAAGTGGGTTATTAATGCACAAGTAAAAATTGATAAACAGTATGCGGAAGCAACAATAATTGTACAGCGATGTATTGATTTGTATAGCTGATTCGTGCTGTAGCATACATTGACCATGTATCGTCTGTAATTATTCTTCCCGTGAGGATACTTCATTGTTTCTCAGCTTTGCCATCTTGGGTCCTGTAAGAGGATACTGAATCATTTATGGCTATGTTTTTATAAAAGGGTGCCATCCAGTAACTGGAACAACTTTAGAACTTGATTTCTATAAAGTGCAAAATCTTCTTCAACGTTCACGAGGAAAATTTGTTTCTGACATGCTTAATTTGAACAACCTTTGCTATCAAGATATTCGATAATTTTTGTTCAAGGTACGTTATTTTAATGAGATTTTCTCCACCACTCCAATCTATGGTTTCTGAACATTTGTTGTTTATTTAGCTGGGAGTACCCTAGGCTTGTAGTTGTTAGATCTATCGGCTGTGGGACCAGTTATGTTACAAGTTAAGATAAGGGTTGGGTCATGAGCTCACTTTGGATCTTGGGGTGGTATGTGAAGCAAACGCTGATCCTTTTTCCCTCTTTCATTTTCCGTTGCTGCAGAATTGATTGAGAACCGCCCTTGTTTGAAATATCTGCACATTCTCTTTAGGGTACGGAATTAGTGGCCACTTGCCAATGCCCGTTTTTGAAATATCCGCACATTTGTCTTTAGGGTGTGTAATCAGTGGCCACTTGCCAATGCCCTTGTTTGAAATATCTGCACATTGTCTTTAGGGTCTAGGGTACATCCTGCTCATATTTTTAGAGTTTGGTTTTAGTTGTCGTATAGTGATGTTCACCATTGCTTCAACTTTGTTTTCAGTGGAGAAGTTAATTTGTTGGTTCATACCCTCAACTTTATTTAAAAAGGACAATAAAGAGAAATTATTTAGGATAGTTTCCCCCAACCAACAAAGGGCCAAGAAAAGGAAAAGAAAAACAGAGACAAAAGTAAAAATTAATTAATCAGCTCCAAAAAGATGAGGGTTTTAGCACCAATTCCATTTTTTTCTGGTTTACAAATTTGAGAAAATTCAATATCATATCAGCCACTCCTCTGCCATATCAACTTGCCTGGGATTAGGAACTATAAATTGGAGAATTAGAGCCAAAACGAAAGAGCTTAAGGGGAGAAATAAAGAAAACCATCTTTAACAAAGCAAAGTCTAAAAATGGCTTCTGCATCTCTCCTCAAGCCTTCACCTGTTGTAGACAAGTCCGAGTGGGTTAAGGGTCAGACCCTTCGCCAACACAGTTTCTGTGGTTAGGAATCACCCCGGTTGCTCCCTCTGGACTCAACGTGCGTGCTAGCTCATATGCAGATGAGTTTGTCATGACTGCAGTAAGTGTTATATAATTGTATTCTCTTCCACAATTTGCTTAAAATATGCCTACACTTGAATGACCAAACAAAAGAGAAAAAACAAATGGTATTATAAGCGTTTGACAATCAGAAACTGAAATTTTTCAGAAGGAACGGTGATTTTACTTATATGGGATTTTGAGATGTTTGTAGAAAACTATTGCTTTCTCCAGGCCGTGGAATTTTGGCCATGGATGAATCCAACGCCACCTGTGGGAAACGTTTGCCTCAATTGGGCTAGAGAACACAGAGGCTAACCGTCAAGCCTATAGGACATTGCTTGTTTCAGCTCCGGACTTGGGCAGTACATCTCGCGTGCCATCCTCTTTGAGGAAACCCTCTACCAATCCATGGTCGATGGCAAGAAGAAGGTCGATGTTCTCGTTGAGCAGAACATAGTCCTCGGCATCAAGGTCGACAAATAAAGTCTCATCTCCCATTTGTGGGAGGAATGACCTCTCTGTAGTTCAAATTTAATACTCGGAAGTATCTATTAGTAAGAACTCGATACTATGAATACTACTGCATGGTCTTGTTCCTATGGCCTGCTCAAACAATGAGTCATGGTGCCAAGGTCTAGACTGCCTTGCCTCACGTTCTGCTGCATGGTACGAACAGGGAGCTCGTTTTGCAAAATGGTATCCCATTTTCACTTCGTATTTGAACATTTTAAGTTGCTTTTCGTCATGTTTATGTTACTATCAATATTTTTAGGCGTACTGTGGTAAGCATTCCCAATGGACCATTTGAACTTGCTGTGAAGGAAGCAGCTTGGGGACTTGCTCGCTATGCTGCCATCTCTCAGGTTAGATTATTGAATGAAATCTTATTACAAGACTGTATTGATTATATTGTGGCATTGGATGATGTTTTGATGTTTTTGGCCATGCAGGACAATGGTCTGGTTCCAATTGTTGAGCCAGAGATCTTGCCTGATGGTGATCATGGAATCCACATGACTTTTGAAGTAGCCAAAAAGGTGTGGGCTGAGGTTTTCTTCTATCTTGCCCAGAACAATGTGATGTTTGAAGGTATCCTCTTCAAGCCAAGCATGGTCACTCCTGGTGCAGAGTGCAAGGATAAGGCAACTCCCGAACAGGTTGCTAGCTACACCCTCAGCCTCCTGGCGCCAAGAATCCCTCCAGCTGTTCCTGGAATCATGGTAATTGGCTATAGACCTGCAAGTTCTTTATACATGCTTAGATGAAACTCATCCACTAATTTTAACCGGACATGGTTTTGGCAGTTTTTGTCTGGTGGGCAGTCTGAAGTTGAGGTTACCTTGAACTTGAATGCAATGAATCAAGCACCAAATCCATGGCATGTGTCGTTCTCATATGCAAGAGCCCTTCAAAATACTTGCCTGAAGACGTGGGGAGGCAGACCTGAGAACGTGAAGGCGGCTCAGGACACGCTGCTTGTTCGGGCAAAGGCCAACTCCCTCGCCCAACTTGGCAAGTACACAGATGAAGGAGAGTCTGAGGAGGCCAAGCAAGGAATGTTTGTCAAGGGTTATGTTTACAAGGCTCTTTTGAATCAAATCCACAGAAGAAGACAATGACGATAAAATTATTAATCATGTATGAGTTATGAAGATCTTTGCTTTTCTCCTCGTAGCTATTGGACCATGTATTTGTTGATAACAATATCAAGCAATTCATCAACAGCTTTATAAATTTCCTGCAGTGAAAGTTCTAATTTCCAGAGTGACATTTCTATTAGATGTTTGACGCTCTATAATCTTGCAAGTGTTTGTAAACAATCCAAGTTTATTGTTTTCAAATATTTCATGTACATTTAAACCCTTATCGCTAAACATGAAGAGGATAAAAGAAGAGATAACCGACTGTAAGTTCGGGCAATAACTTAAAGTTCAACTGTACAGTTCCAGGCATTACCTGAAATGAGAAAGCTCTTCGTGACATATTTAAAAAAATTAGTATTTTCTTGTCATCAGTGAGATAAAGGTGAATCTCTGATTATCTGGGAATATAACATTACTATTTAAGCATTAATCTCAAGCATTATCAATTATTTCCAAGTTATTTGATAAAGTCATACAAAAAGTACAATTTTCACAAGGCAATTTCAACCATTACAAGCAAACCTCACAAAAGAATGACATATTACAGATCATTTCTTGGCACTGGATGTGGATTACATTCTTTCGCCTTGCAGTATGACCCTCGGAAGCTCTCTGGAAACTGGTGTAAACAACTAAGCTCTGGAGATAGAAGTGGAGATGATAGATTGACTAATTATGGCAAGAACTCCCCCAAGCTCAGGCTTCTAAATAAAAAATAACCAATCGAAACCACGACTCCTGATCAGTGGTCATTACCACCTCTGCTGAGAATATCGAATTACAGTTCCTTCAGACATCAAAACAGGTATCGAGGGTCAACATGTGAGCTTAAGAACAATCTAATGTTTATAGACTATAGATTTTATCCCGAACATGCTTGTTCCATGTAGGTAAAACCTATATCATGACGCATTCATATCACACTGTGAACTTCTACAAGTCTAACTTGAAAATCAAGAGAAAATGCAATATGTCAACAAAAGGAACTTAAATCATACAAATGCACCAGCATCAAAATAAGGTCAGATGGGCTGTGCATGAGCATAGAAGGAAAGCTTCGAGTGTTGTACACTAGTGAATTGCTTGGAACACATGCATCTATTAGATATGGCAGAAAAGGAAATCATGCTTCTTTTTTTCAGATGTATAAACAAAATACTTTATAAAAAAAGAAGTAAATCATTGTGTAGATTTATGTTTTTTTCATGCATCAAAACGAAGGTGTGATTATTGCACATGCAAAATGAAATTTTGAGGGGCTTCCTAACAAGACATGTATCTAATGTCTCTCCAGTATTGGACGTTGAAAGAACAAGAGCATGTGCTTCAAATGTTGTGTGAAAGAAAAAGGAGTACCAGCAAAACGGTTCCAACCTGATTGTTCGAGGCTTGCCCATGAATTCGATGAGGCTTCATATTCAAATCTATCATGTTAGTATCAGTCTTGAGGTTTTTAGCACTCATCACTTGTGCAGGAGAGACCTTGTGATTCTGTTGGTTCTCTCCTATTGTTGGTTTAGCTAGCTGAGTTTGGCCTCTTCCGGTCTCACTCGGATCCGCCTGTGTATCCCCTGGAAACTGCAGAAGAAACAACCCAATAAAACTTCCAAAGGGCAAACTTATACTCCTGGAGAAATGTAATTCATGACTCAATTGTAGTGAAAGATACAAGCGACAGACCTTCACTCTCTGCCTTAATAGAAGATTTCTTCCATGGGTCTTTTTACCTCCAACATGTACATTCATATCACATTGCAAACAAAGGGAACTTCCATCTATCTCGCAGTAAAAGAAAGCTACACACACAATTCCAAGGGATGAACATAAAGCAAAAAGCTTTATAATGGAAAAGTAAATGACAAAAAACAACACCTGCATACCAGGAGCATTTTCACATATATCACAGCGAGGAACATCACTGGGATTTGCTAGACCCACCCGGACATGGCGGCTAGCAAGCTTATTGCACATATGGACCTGAAACATTCATCCACAATTAAAACCACAGGTTCCATTTTCCAGAACATTCTAGAACACAATGTTGAACAATCTAGAAGGATTCTTTCTGTTTGCAATGCATAGGAAATTATTGAGAAGAAACAAAAAAAGACTCAAAAGTATTCCCTTGACTAGGACTATTCATCAAATTCCGGAACCCCAGCTGAGAATTTATAGAAAAATCCAGCAGTGGCACAGAAAAGACCCCGTAAAAAAACAATCTTGAAGAAGAAAGTAAGGGTCTTTTATTATATCAAGTAACACAGAGAAGAACAATAGACAAACAAAAATCACACATGGGGTCCAGTTAACAGGTACAAAAACACGAGCCAAAGTGTTTAGTAGAAACACGAGCCAAAGTGTTTAGTAGTAACACGAGGAAAGAACCGACCTTTTCATCACAGGCACGGCAAAGAGCAGCCTCATCGGCAGCACAGAAGACAATAGCAGGATCACTTTCACAAGCGTCACAAAGGATTCGCATAATGCTCTCTCACTCTCATCCTCTCCCAATCAAAACCAGCAGGCAGCTGTTGTTTTTCTTGGTGTTTTGGGGAGTAAAAATAATGATTGATGATAATTGGGAAAAAAAGGGATAGCAGGATGATGTTTTTTAATATATATAATATAATAACACGAGATTGGAGAAGGATGTGGAATTTAATAAGCAGGCAACAAAAATGAAAGAGAGAAGGATTGGACTCTAGAGAGTAGATTTGTCCACTTTTGGTTTGATTCATTTGGTAATTTGATCACTTGATTTCCACCACAAGTTTTTCAAAGAGACTCACTTGTGGGGCTGAGAATCTCTCTTCCCATTAATCTTGTCCACCAGTCACATATCTACCATGGAACCAATTTTATTTTATTTTGCCTGGCCATACACAAAGCATCTTATCTCTTTAATTTGTACCTAATTTGTTCCACAATCTACTCCCTTGTGAGGGTAGTTCTGCGGTGCGGCGCTTAAAAAACGGTTAATATACGGTGTGACCGGTTAAATAAGTGACCGGTTAAAATTTAGACCGGTTATGTTATATTATTTAACCGAAAATATTATAAAGTACAATAACATACTAGGTAGCGCTTATATAATATAATAGGTAGCGCTTATATTTACGTATTTTATAAGTAAACCGGTATATTTACCGATAGCATTGCAAATTTACCTATTACATTATATTATATAAAGTGTCCATACTTTTTATAAAAAGGATCGATATTTCTTTTAAAGTTATGTAATTTATGTTTCAATTTTTTTTAATAGTGTTTCATGTTTTTCACCTACAATATTAATTTAATAATTTCATTTGTACAAAAAATTATTTGATTGTTTTGATATTTTATAAAATAATATTTAGAATTTTTAATTTAATAATAATATATATCGTAACGTAAAAAATAAATCATTAGACGCCTATAATTACTAAATTAATATCTTAAAACTCACTCAAAAGATAACCTTAAATTAATGTTTTCCATAGTGAGCATTGCAAATTTACCTATTACATTATATTATATTGAAAGTGTCCATACTTTTAATAAAAAGGATCGATACTTCTTTTAAAGTTATGTAATTTATGTTTCAATTTTTTAATAGTGTTTCATGTTTTCCACCTACAATATTAATTTAATTTCATTTGCACAAAAAATATTTGATTGTTTTGATATTTTATAAATAATATTTAGAATTTTTAATTTAATAATAATATATATCGTAACGAAAAAAATAAATCATTAGACGCCTATAATTACTAAATTAATATCTTAAAACTCACTAAAAAGATAACCTTAAATTAATGTTTTCCACAGTGAAAAAAGTGTGGACACTTTTATAAAAAGGATAGACACTTTACAATATAACCACTACCTATTACATTATATAAACGATATCTATTACATTATATAAGCTCTACCTATTATATCATATGTTTACCTATTATATTGAAAGTGTCCATACTTTTTATAAAAATGATCGATACTTTTTTTAAAGTTATGTAATTTATGTTTCAATTTTTTTAACAGTGTTTCATGTTTTCCACCTACATATTAATTTAATAATTTCATTTACACAAAAAATTATTTGATTGTTTTGATATTTTATAAAATATTATTTAGAATTTTAATTTAATAATAATATATCGTAACGTAAAAAATAAATATTAGACGCCTATAATTACTAAATTAATATCTTAAAACTCACTCAAAGGATAACCTTAAGAACACTTGAAGAAGCAAGAGAACAACTATCAAAGCAATCAAAAACGAGAAAATCCCAACATGATAACAACTGAACATATCATATCAATGTTCAAACTCAAGTTGTAGATTTTGATTTCCTTTTGCTTGGCATCATATGAGATTTGGATTTTGATTTCCTTTTGCTTGGCACCATATGAGCTTTGGATTTTGATGAGCATCGGAAGTATTTCAACTTATGATTTGGGTGGTACTCAACTTATGATTTTAGTTGCTATTTGTTACATTTCTTGTATACCACCCAGATCATACGCCCGAAACGTTTCTGACGCTTTAAAGTTGACCAAAAATAAAATGGTCGGGATTTCCCTCGCGTTTATACGTTGGAAAAAAAACAATGGAAATTAGGAATAATCAATGATAACATGCATATTGGCTTGGGCTAATATTTATAGTGGAGCCGAAATATATTGAAATTCAAACTCAAATTGAAATTTAAATTCAAACTCCAATTACATATGAAATGAATTTGAAATGCAGTGTTAAATTGAACATGAAAATTGCATAATTGATTCATACTGTTCAAGTAACATGCTTTATGAACCATCAAGCTAAAAGACAATATTGATTGAGTTCAAAGCTGAGTTGTGAGTTGATGGAGTTGTCACACTTGTCACATGGTTGGAATAAAGTACTCACATGCGAGATAGATTGTTTTGTTATACATAACCCATCTCAACTAAATGAAAATATACATACAATATAATCAAACCAAAACATACTTACACAACAAATTTATATATAACAATGTTCAAATAATGTACCCACAAAAACGAAATTAATCCAATGAAAAAGAGTTATTTCTAACAAAGTCCGGAACATTATTTTTCCAAATAATGTACCCATAACAATGTTCAATTAATGTACCCACAACAATGTTTAATTGATTTGTTGTTAATTTTCAATTTGAATTTAATAATAATATATATCGTAACGTAAAAAATAAATCATTAGACGCCTATAATTACTAAATTAATATCTTAAAACTCACTCAAAAGATAACCTTAAATTAATGTTTTCCACAGTGAAAAAAGTATGGACACTTTTATAAAAAGGATAGACACTTTACAATATAACCACTACCTATTACATTATATAAACGATACCTATTACATTATATAAGGGCTACCTATTACATCATATGTTTACCTATTATATGAAAGTGTCCATACTTTTTATAAAAAGGATCGATACTTTTTTAAAAGTTATGTAATTTATGTTTCAATTTTTTTAACAGTGTTTCATGTTTTCCACCTACAATATTAATTTAATAATTTCATTTACACAAAAAATTATTGGATTTTTTTGATATCAGCCAATTCAGACATCAAAATGTCGAAGTTACTCTGTTTTGCTTCACCGTCGTCCCACTCACCGTCATCCCCCAATACAACCATCCCTCATTTCTTCTCCTCTGCCTCCACTGCCTCCTCTACATCCTTGCCAATAACCTTCAAATTAAATTACAATATTAAGACATTGATTATATTCTTAATATTATTTAATTACATTATTACCATTTCTTGCTTCTTCCCTCTATCCAACTTCAACTTCACCATCACTAACCACCTCTTCCTTCCCCCATGCACGGATGCGTGCCACTCCGGTTATTTCATAAGCCGACACTGCCTCACAGCCGACCAAAATCGAACAGTGCAACCTGCATTTATAATAAAATTTATATTTTATATAAAAACAAACAAAATTTCTCATTTACCTCTAAGATTGCTATGCACCCTTTGAGGTATCTCTGGCTGCCCTTTTTAAAGGTGATTATTGATTCAATCAATCTCGAATGGATATATTCAGCCCAATTGAATTCACCCTTCAAGCCTTCATCGCAAATGAGCTTCATATATTCCTTGTTCGTTGACGTATCACCCGTTGGACAAAGAAATATCCGACAAGGTACAATAGAACTCGGGCCTTCAGCTCATCCCCCCAGTAAGATCCACTTTGATATCCTCTTCAACTTCAGCATATGTCACCTTATGATTCAAACCATATTTGGAGGCAAGTGCTTTCCAGTTCTTACTCCTACAGACTTCTATAACTTTTGCCTTGTTTTGTACCCCAATACGGCTGCAGCAGTCGATACCCCCAGAGGGAATGAATAATCACCATACTTAGCCATACATTGACTGACGTCAAATTGTGCCATCAAGGATCGACACAATTCCCTCCGAGATCCAAACCTATTTCTCCCAGCACATTCAACTGATCCTTCTCCTTAAGGTGGTTTAATTAATAAATTCACCCTTTTAAGCTGCATCTTGTCGACACTTCCTACATTTTTAACAATATATAATGTTATAGTTCTTATATTTTGTATCAACGTATTTACAAGTTTAATGAATACCTTATTTTCTAGTGCTTTCCTCCGTTCTTTGTACTCTTTACTATTATTCCTTGACTGTGTGATGTAAGGTTCCTTTTCAGCATCACTCATTGAATTCCATTTGGACCTCACATCTTTTTTCACCTATATTAAACATAAACGTTTCTTAATCAATACATTAACACTAAATACTAATACTCAATGTCAATTTCATTTTACATACCGAACCGCTCTGTGTGCCATCTCCCTTCATCCTTTGCATTCGGCCATACTGTTAGCATTTAAAATTTGTAATCAATTTAAAGTTTATCGATACTTTAATCAATTACCATTTCAACAATAATAACAAAAGGACATTGATACTTACTAGAAGTACATATATCCACCCTTTGGTTGCTTTCGAGTCTCGACCTCAATTTCAAAGTCATCTGCTCCACCAACAATTTTCCAACCCATTGACTCCATTTTTCCTTCATATATCAGTTTACGCAAATCAAATATTTCGTTACATACCTTTATTCAATATACAAATATAGATAACTACTCTTGTGGTAAAACGGTTTTCTTCAAAAGAATTTGAATGGCCACACCAAAATGTGTCGCACATTTATACAACCTATAATATCATTTTCTACCATAATATTAATAAAAGTATCGACATTTATATTTTTCCTTGAATATCTATTTCTACCTGCAATCGTCACAAATGCTTCCTTACTACTCAAAACCCCCAATCAACACATAAAAAACCCTATCACGATACTGTAATAATAAAAAATTAGGGTTTCGACAACATACTTTTCGATTCGACTGCAGCAACAACAAACAAACTTCGCTTTAGAAACGCCTTCTGAAATGCAGCAACAATTACTCTTCGATTTCAAAAACTCGTCCGTTCTATCTTTTTTCAGAGGATATTTAGCTATGGCCTTTATATTTCATCGGATATATTTAATCGATACAAATATAAAAGTGTCGATACTTTTATGTCAGGTTGTCGATACTTTCGAAAGGATAATTACCTATTTCTTTGAAAGTGTCGATAATTTATTACACGTACTTACGAAAGTATCGACACTTTCAATATCCGGTATCATTCGATATTTTTTTAAAGTATCGACACATAGGCGCTATAACTGCTTCTCTTTTAAATTCACAAAGTGTCGATCCTTATATAACGTATCGACACTTTTAAATTTACCGGTTTTATCATTTTGTTACCGGTTTTATCATATTTTTACCTGGTATATCGTTTTGGATCGATATATTTTTTAAAGTATCGACACTTTTTAGGATTTAAAACTGCTTTTAAAGTTATGTAATTTATGTTTCAATTTATTTAATAGCGTTTCATGTTTCCACCTACAATATTAATTTAATAATTTAATTTACACAAATTTTATTTGATTGTTTTGATATTTTAAAAATTATTTAGATTTTAAATTTAACAATATTAACTAAAGGATAATAATAAATATATTTTCACAGTGAAATAAGTATGGACACTTTTATAAAAAGGATAGATAATTTACAATATAACAGGTAAAAATATGACAAAACCAGATTCATTATGACAAAACCGGTAAAATTTACTTGATATGTTAAAAGTATGGACACTTTTATAAAAAGGATAGATACTTACCGATAACCAAAGTTTATCAGTTACCAAATTTTTTAATAGTTTTTCATATTTTCTACCTAAAACATTATTAGTTGTCAACATAATAGGTACCGCTAAACCGAATTTATTAAATACATTTTAATGTATCCGATAATGCTGTATATTAGGCGTTATTAACCCGCCTTTCCTGAGACATTCCCCCTTGGGATTAAAGTGGCAGCTGATATCTTCTCATATATTGTTTCCCATGATTGTTGTACCTAATTCCCTTGTTTTCTCTTTACACGTGACAAAACAGTTTCCCAAGTGTTCTTTTTGCATGATGGTATCTTAATCCAATCCAACTGCTATATTTGTCATCTCTAGTGGTTAATAATTCTACATTTTCAATGAAAAGAAAAAGAAATTAGATTCCTTAAATGTCTTTAAATTACCTTCAATTGTGAACAAATACCACCTAATCAAGTTCATAAATGTTTGTGTTTAAAATATAGTTTCAAGACCTGGGGGGAAGAAAATCAACATGTTGAATTAATTATGTATATACAGTCTCATTGGTTCTTTGTACGATTGATTGGTTATGGTGGATTAGGATAGGGGTGTAAAAAAATTGACCCGACCTGTAAAACTGGTTGAAATAGACTCAAGTCATTTTTGACCTGTACTGTGGCGATCCGAAACCGACTCGAGTAGGAACTGGTGTTGACCTGAACCCGAGTTGGACCTGAAAATTGTGGATCTGAACCCGACCTGAGAACAACCTGAACTCGAATTGAACCGAAAATATGATACCCGAACCCGAACTGCATCCAACTGATATGAACCCGAACCCGAGATTGACTTGGTAAATAACTGGTATTACCCAACATATTTTCAACCTGATCTGTTATGAACCTGACCTATAATTAACTCAACCTGTAAATAATCCGACATGTTTTTAAAGTGATATGATATTATCTTAACTTATAAGTAATAAGTTACAATTAATATAATTATGTTATTTTAAATTTATAATAAACTTATAATAATTAAATTAATATGATTACTTTTGAAATTTAGTTTTTATATTAATTATAATTTGTATATTATAAATTTGATTTTTATATTAATTTCAATTCTTTATATTATTTATAATTCTTATTTTATAATCACTAAATTAAATTTAAATATTACCTTATTGAACATAATTTTATTAAATTATATAAATTGAGTTAAAATATTCATAAATCTAATTTACTTTTAATATAAAAATTGATTAATAATTTAAGTATAACTTAACTTGAAATTTTAAAATAAAAACTATATTAGTTGAAATGATGAACTTATTAAAGATTTGAAAATTGAATAACATTACAAATACTAAAACAAAAAATTTATAAATGAAGTTAATTTTATTACAATTAAAAACACTAAAATTATAATAAAAACAACTAAACAAAATAAATTTATGTTAGAATAAATGTTCTCAAATCTTATAACAAAAATTTTACAAGGCTAAAATCCTAACTATACTACTAGAAATATCATCGAGTATTTATACATAAATGCTGTCAACATATTTAATTATGGGTAACTTTCTAATTTTAAAAGCCAAAATGCCACCAACATAATTCCACATAATTCCACATGAGTAACTATTTAGATAAGAATTTATAATGTTCAAAAATTGATTTAAGTCAGACTAATAACAATAATTTACAAAACATCAGTAAGTAATAGACAACAACAATAATTTACAAAGCATCAATGCATCAATTCAACAAGCATCATTGCATCAATTCAGCAAGCATCCTGCATTAAGAAATCATACAATCAGTGGTAAAGCCAAAAGGAATTCGATGGCCAACAATGCCAAACCTTTCTGACTTTACCAAACCCTTACAATTCAAACATAAAGCCTGCATTGAGATTCAACAAATAAGAACCACAAGATATTGAGAAGCAACCAGAAACATACTCGAGATTAAGGACTAAAAGAGCTCACATCTAATCCAGAACAACCCCACAAGCTGAGTTTCTTTAGTCGGCTGTGTTTGATGATAAGCTTCTGGTTCATGTGACCAAGACCGCCAAGCCCAATCACTCCTAAAGATTTTCCAGGTCGGTTCATGCTATGGCGCATCATTGGTGTATAAACAGTGATTCCAGCACAAAGCAGAGGTGCTGTTGAAGCCAAAGGATAGTTGTTTGGTATTTTGAAGCAATACCTGTTGATTCAACAACAAAGGTAACACTTTTATCATTCATATACTTTTTCCATGGCTGTGGAACATTAAAATTGCAGAAAAAGAGTAAATTAACTCTAGAAAATATACAATATAAAATTGTTATACACTATTAAATCCAACATTTTTGTTATAGTCTCTTTTACTTGGGAATTATTAGATGATTAAATTCAAGTTTCAACTTTATATTTTGTAACAATGCAAAAGCCATAAATCAAACAGTTGCTTGTAAATTAAGTATTTTTCCTCCTGATGATCTGTACCTATAACATCTCCAAATTAAAGTGCAGATATTGGAAGCATTATCCTGAAAAGCTAACCTAATAACACCTAGAAAACTTATATAGCAAAGCAACAAATATAAGCTCAAATCATAAAAAAAGAAAGAAAACCCCCATTTGAACCATAGTTTTAGGCAGTGGGATCACATAAAACTGTTGGGAGGATATCTGATCACAGATCTAACTTGTAAGAAACAGCTTCATGTAATGAAAACTCATAAAGTTTATGAATCATGAAATGCTTACCTTTCATGGACAACAACAAAGCTAGAATATCCACCTTTTGTGACCGTTCCATCCACATCAATACCATTAAACGTGGGAACCTTCAGTTTTTCACACTGAACTTCGAAGCCAACATTACAATACTCACAATCTCTGCATGAGTTGACATAAGTTCCCCCTCCAACGTGATCACCGACCTTGAAGCGTTGAACATTGGAACCGATCTCCTTCATAATACCATCAATCTCATGCCTGAAATGGAAACAATTATAAAAACCACATCAACTTAAGATCAAATCTAGAAAAGCAATGATAATTCACAATTTTTAAAAAGAAAGAAAAAAATATCATACCCTGGCACCACAGGATACTTTGAATCTCCAAGAATATTCCTCGACCAAATAACATCAGCGTAGCAGATTCCACAGTGAGTAATTTTAATGGAGACATCGTCACTTCGGAGAGGCCTGCATACATTAGTTATAGGACAAAGTCAACAAAAGACATTGAAAATTACTGCCTCAAACAAACATCAGTCGGGCCGAGAAGAACACATATTTGGTATAAGGTTTAGTAGTTTTTAATAGTCAAACGAATGAATGGTGCTACAAGCAAGATTCCTTGTATTATTCTGTTCTGTGAAATCGGCAATAAATTAAAAATAGGTCAATCGGGAGGTAAAAAGAAAGAACGAATCCAACGCACCTGCGACTGAATTTGTATGGTGATAAAACTCCAGATGGATCTGTGGCGTCCCACGCAAGGCAGTCCTCAGTGTTGGTCTGAGAATCCATTAGTCAACTAAACCACAACAGAACAAATACACACTCAGTTTTATCAATGAAACGAAAGAGAAAAGACAAAAAAATAAGGGAAAATTCTTGTGTTAATTCGTTCTACAGCGAAATCCGAAACCCAGATTCCAGGTCGCAGCATACATCCATCTATCAATCATTTTTGACAAAAAAGGGGGATTGATTCCACTTCCTTGCTGTTAAATACGTCTCTCTTCTCTTTCTTCTCTCTTGCCGATTCCGAACTCCAGGAGGATAGTCGCTCAGCCGACTAAAGCTAAAAGCAGAGTTGGAGCTTGACAATACAGTTGATCTTCTTGCTGCTGAGAGAGATGCTGGCACTGAATGAAGCTGATTCCCCCGTATTGGAAAGAACCTTCTATAATGAAGAGTAGGATGTGAGTGAAAGCCCTCTAGTCGAGTAAGATAACTAAAAGTAAACGCCGCCGCGGCAGAATACGCCGAGGCCGAAGAGGAAATATGCGGCTGCTGATGGTGCATCGCCGTTCGGCAAATGGAAACAACAATGAAAGAGGGAAAACGAGAGAAAAGAGAAAGATTTTGGATGCTGAGCGGGGAAGAAGAAATACCGAAAATAAAAAGAGGGAGGGTTTGGCCGGGAAGAGGCGGGAGAAAATGGCTATTTTGGCGTTTTTAAATTTCATCTCTATAAAATTTATATTAATAAAATATTTATAATTAATATTAAAATAATTATATATTATAATTAATATTAATATTAACTTATATTAATATAATATAGTTTATAATTTGTAATTAATATTAATATAAAATATAGTCTATAAAATTAATATTAATATAAACTATATGTTATAAATTATATAGTATAGTTTATAAATTATAGTTAATATAATTAATATTAATATAATATAGTTTATAAACTATATACTATATTAATATAAATTATAATTAAGATAATTAACATTAATATAAAATATATAGTAAATTAATATAAAATATAGTTTATAAATTATAAACTATAGGTTATAAAGTATAAACTATATAGTACATTAATATAAACTATTGTTTATAAATTATATGTTACATATATAGTTTATATAACATATAAATAGATTGCATATATACATATACTATAGGCTATATATATATATATAGTTTATATATACATATAATATAGGTTATATATATAGTTTATGAGTTTAGGGTTTATGGGTTAAGGTTTATAAGTTAGGTGTTAGGGATTATGGTTAGGGTTAGAGTTTAGGATTTAGGTGTTAGTTAGGAGTTAGGGTTTAGGATTTTTTTGTAAACTATATATTTTATTACTTTATATAGTTTATGCATAGTATTTCTATAAATTATATATATATATATATATATATATATATATATATATATATATATATATATATATATATATATATATATATATTCTATAGATTACTTATATTAGTTATATATACATATATATATATATATATTATATTAATATAAATTATAATTTATAAACTATTTATTTTATATAGTTTATATACATAGTTTATATATATAATTCATATAAACATAATTTATATATGAGAAAATAACCTCAGTGACCGAAAATGCCTTATAATATACAATTTTAACCAACTTTTTTTGGATTTGCCAAAATGACCAACAAATTCGCAACGCGAACTCCAATTTCGCAACGCGAATCTGTAAATCGCAAGTTGCGAATCTGTAAATCGCAACACAGAAGTCAAATCGCAACACATAAGTCAAATTCGCAACGCGAAACACAATATTAATTCCGCAACACAAATGTAAACAATATTATCGCAAATCATAACCTAAAACCCTAAATCACAACTCAATCACATCTCCATCTCTCACTCTCTACGGCGACATCCATCCCCATCTCCGACGACATCCATCCCCATCTCCGACAACATCCATCCCCATCTCCGTCGAAATCCATCCCCATCTCCAGCAAAATCCGTCTATCTTTGTAACACCCCTAACTCATATTCGACCCGAATACAAGTCCGAGATGTCACATTGACTTTTCAAACTTTGATTCTTAATGAAAAATCCCGGGAATTTAAAACTTTCATTAAAACAAAATACTTTAATTTATATAAAAGAGACCACTTAATACAAAATCGATCAGAGCATTCGTAATTAACCACTTATTACATACCAACACTTTATACACAACAAAATACCTACTTTGTCAATTACTTCTGATCTAACTTCTTAGTAATGTTGATGTCCGTGCCACTGCTATTCTGAATTTTCTTATTTCTTGGTACCTATGTGTAAATCACTTACACGCTAAGTCATAGACTTAGTGAGGCAATAAATGAATATGCAATAATATCTTCATGAATATGCATTCTTACCATTTCCTTCATGACATTTCAATATGCATGTATCTATTACACAATAACATATATAATCATATCATGCATGTTCAAAACTTACCTTCTTGTACCACTTTCACTTTACTTTGTATTTCAATTGCCCATGTATATTATTGAGAATAGAGGTATGTGAGTACATAGAGGTTGTGCACTAATGCTGTCACCACAGCTCATATCAATTCCCTCATGGGGCACCGAACCTTAGTTCATTATTTGTCCCGAAGGACTGTCATATATGTCCCGTAGGACCACTACATCCCGAAGGACTATGTCCCGAAGGACTATTATACCCTCGACTCTTGGCATGCCAATTACACCTATAGCTCTCATATCGTATACTATGGGCATTATTCTTATTCCATATGTTCATGTACTCATGTCATTTCTTGTGCTCATGTAGCTCATGTCATTCTTGTGATCATGTAGCTCATGTCATGTTCTCATATCACATATCATATCACATGTGTATTTGAATCTATTCATATATATACATCATTTATCCAATCACATGAACATATATATGCTTTATGCATGTATTACAATAATTATCATGTATGCATGTTCACAACTATTGTACTATAAAAATCAATATAGGAATTAGACTTATCATAAGTCTTATTCTATTATACTATACATATAGTATGCACTCACCTTAGCTTTGCTTTGATTCGATTCTAATCCTTTGATCGTTCCGGAATAAGCTTACTTTTAGTATCTACATAATCACACATGAATCTATATCAGTATTATAGCTAATATACTCTAATGGTTCACTCTTTAGATTAAGATAAATGTCAATTTCCTCTTTTAATGAAGGTATGCATCGATGCACTACTTGTGCATCGGTGCATAAAATGCATTCGATGTTTTATTAAGGGGATCGATGCACTAATTGCATTCGATCTTTTTATTTTAAAAGAGTGCATCGATGCACTACCTGTGCATCGATACACCTTCAAACACTTTCTGGGTTTTAACCTTGATGCATCGATGCACTATGAATATGCATCGATGCATTCTGCCCAGAATCCTCTTTTTGAACCCAAAAATTCATTCATTTTGGATTAAATCCTTCATGTTTAATCATCTTTTTCATTCTTAACTATAGTACACATCCTTAAACCAATTTATACTCATTTATTCATCTTAACCTCCAAATTTTATCATTCATATATAATTCAAGAATTACATTAATAAATCAACATGTTTGAATTCCGCTTTTAACACTTTGTATATCTTAACTAGATTGATGACAAGTCAAATTTAACTTTCAATTCTAGTTATGAACTATATTCCAAGATTTCATTTAAGAACTTCAAATCTTAAATCTCTCATAACTCAATCATCCTTTGATGTTAAGATAACTTAAGCTTTCCTTAAGCTTAGTTATCATCTAATAATCAAAACCCAATATATTAAATTTAACGATAAACTCAATAATCAGAAATCTTACCTTTGCTTTTGTTCACACGCACAAGGAAGAAAGAAGAAGAAGAGAACTCTGGAAGCCTTGGGTGTTTTCTCCCCTTCCACCCACATGTATCCTTATATCTATACTTATCATTTCTTTAATTATTTTTCCTTGCAATTACTCTATTGTCCTTTCATTCCTTCTTCCTTTCAATTCCATCCTACACAATAATTTACATATAAATCTTTATACTATTCATTCATTTTATTTTAACCACCAAATTCTGAGATTTTACAATTTAGTCACTAACCCGGTATTGAGGATGTTACAACTCTCCCCCTTTAAGAAAATTCATCCTCGAATTTTCATTATGCAAAGAGGTAGGGATACTGAATCCTCATGTCCTCTTCGCGTTCCCATGTTGCTTCCTCTACTTTGTGATTCCTCCACAAGACCTTAACCAATGGAATAGTCTTGTTCCTTAGTTGCTTGACTTCGTGAGCTAATATTTGAACAGGTTCTTCCTCATAAGTTAAATCTGGTCGAACTTCAATTTCTTCAGGAGTCACAATGTAGGATGGATCAGATAGATATTTTCTAAGCATTGAGACATGAAAGACATTGTGTATCTTTTCCATTTCAGGTGGCAAAATTAGTTGATATGCTACTGGTCCTACTCTCTTAGTAATCTCGTAAGGTCCAATGAATCGAGGACTCAACTTTCCTTTCCATCCAAACCTTAATACTTTCTTCCACGGAGACACTTTCAAGAACACTTTATCTCCGACTTGAAATTCAATCTCTTTCCTTTTTAAATCAGCAGCATATGATTTATGTCTATCAGCTGCAGCTTTCAGATTATTCTGAATTACTTGAACTTTTTCTTCCGTATTCTGAATCAACTCAGGACCAATAACTTCTCGATCCTTAAGTTCATACCAGTTCAAGGGCATACGATATCTTCTTCCATATAGAGCTTAATAGGGAGCCATTTTGATGCTTGACTGATAACTATTGTTGTACGCAAATTCAGCAAGTGGTAAATACCTTTCCCACGATCCTTTGAATTCAATGACACAAGCTCTTAGCATATCCTCCAGAATTTGAATAGTTCGCTCGGATTAACAATCGGTTTGAGGATAAAATGTTGTACTGAAGTTCAACCGAGTTCACAGTGCTCCATGTAATGACTTCCAAAACCGTGATGTGAATCTAGGATCTCGATCAGAAACTATGGAAATAGGTACACCATGCAAACGTATAATCTCTCTAATGTACAGTTCCGCATACTTATCCATGGAGAAATTAGTTCGTACCGAAATAAAATGGGCTGACTTAGTCAATCTATCTACGATCTCCCAGATTGAATC